AAATTAGCCAACGAAGTCTAAACGAAAGTTGTAGAGTACGTTCCCACCTTCGCGTGGATATAAAGAACGTCGAAAATGGAGCTCGTATGCGAAAGTTACGAATTTTTAAAGTTGCAGCATGAAAATGCGAAGTCTGTGCGAGATTGATGACGTGGCGCGATCAGAGCCGTCGCTTGCGGCCCACGGTCTCGCTCGGATGAGCGACACGTCGCTCCTCGCTACGCCCAGCGTCCGCTTCGTGCGCCCCGCGTCCGTTCGCTCTCGGTCCAGAAGGCGCTACGACGCCTCGTCCTACGCCCCGCGTACGAGGTCCGGGTACGCCCCGCGTACCTTCGCTTCCCCTCCATCCGGTGCGAGACAGCTGGCTGCGAGCTGGCGCCCTTATCCGAGGGAACGCCCCGCGTAGCTGCTGAACGCCCCGCGTAGAGGCAGCCTTCGGCCCCTATAAATACATGCGAGATGCTCTGGATTTTTCACACCATTTCTCACTCTCTCTCTAAAATCTTTTTCTCTCTAAGGTTCCAAACCCTCCCTAAGGTCTAGGTGAACCCCTAGCACCCTAAGGAAGCCCCGAGGCTCCCGGAGTCCCGAGAAAAAGGAGTTTTTCGGTTTTGAAACGCTGCTCCAATTAAGTTCCGGTTTTCGATAAAATTCGCTGTAAGTATGCTACGCTTACGCAATTTTTAATATAGCTTCCAAATAATTATAGGAATGTTATTAGGTCCTTAAAATAATTATTTGGGCTATTATTATGAGTTATATTGAGCATTATTAACGCTTAATAATAGTCAAACTGATTTATGAGTCGCGGTTATCGTTAAACTAAACCCTAGTTGTATCGGTACTAGGTTTTATCGAAGGAACATCGTTGTGAGAGTATCGAAGCGCTGTCCGAGTGCTGAGTCACCACCTAATCAGGTGAGTGCATGGTCCTTTTCATCTTACACATAGATATGAAGTATCTTTATATAAACTACGTGCTATGTGTGCATATTATATGAATACTTGCTGTCTATGCTGGATGAACGTTTTATACATGTTTTAAAGGATTTAAACTGTATACGTATTTTATATATACGAATATGTTGGGTATGATGATGGGTAGATGAATGATGAGAGATAGGAGATGACGTGAGTATACATTGGCAGCTATAGACTTAGTGCCTATGGGACAAACACCGAGAGCTATGGACTTAGTACCTGTTAGACGTTGGTAGCTATGGATTTAGTACCTGTTGGTAGCTATGGACTTAGTACCTATTAGTTAGACACTGGTAGCTATGGACTTAGTACCTGTAGGAATTGGTAGCTATGGACTTAGTACCAGTTGAGCGTTGGTAGCTATGGATTTAGTACCCGATGAGTAAGATATAGCAGCTATGGAATTAGTGCTTTACGAACGAACATTGGCAGTTATGAATTTAGTGTCAGTCCTAGAACCCTGGAAGTAAGGGACTTCGGAATAAACGAATGAATAATAGATGACTCTTAGGTGAAATCCTTAAGAGTAAAGAAGATAACGGGAATGGGTAATGGGGTTAATTGTTTGATAATTAAACATAACAATTATATTATTGTGGGTTGAAAACCCTATGTACTCACCAGGTTTCCAACCTGACCCACTCAGTTTATGTATATCACAGGTAACGAAGTGAAGTGACTTTACACTGAGAGAATTAAAGAGCTATAGATCACTAGTGTAAATCATTGTAAGTTCTGTTTATGCTTATGTTTCGGTATTAACGATGACATCCCAAACGTTTTAAGATGAATAAAAATACGTTTCTTCGAAAATGTTTTAATAACGTATTTATCATGTTTTTCTGGGAACAATTCCGCAACCTTTTTATAAAATGAAGTACTTGATTTTCATAAAGCATAAACAAAAAAATCGGTCTTTTCTGGCCGTGATTTTGGGGATGTCACGCTAGTAGCATCAAGAACCAATGAAAACAAAGATTAAAATGTTAATATTGTGAGGTAAATGATTCAAGAAAATATAAATGAAAAAGGGAAAGAAAGAAAGAAAGTTACCTTATGTTCCATTGAATGAACTTTAAGAACTTTCTTGTTAACTCCTCTTTTACTGTATGGAATCAATTATAAGATCAAACATCATGAGGGCATAAAAAATTAATTACAATCTACTGGATTAGACATTGAACTTACATGTCCTAGACAGTTTGATCAAAAGCCATTTTCATTTTCCCCAAGAAGCGTGCAAACACTCTTCAACTGAAACTATTCATGGAAATCAAGAGACTACTCATATCATAGTGTACCACTAACCAAACAAATTGCATTATAAATTAAGATTACAACAATTTATAAGAAAATACCAAAGAGGCATATACTATGAATGTTTAGAACATCAATATATAGCTTATCTAATAATGATTTCTTAAAATACTTAAATATTTGATACCTTTCCTTGTCCATTACATGAATGCTTAGTCCATAACTGCACTTATAAGTGGATCCTAAAACAAGGAACCAAATTGCTACCTGTCACAGTAGGTATTATCATAATATTCATATACTGAGATACTCAAAGGTTAATTTATCTCTATGGACTATGGGTCTAGACATTATGGAAATCATGATTACTATCGTTTTGAAATTAAGCCCCTTTTTAAATGCCTACACCCAATTCAAAATTCATATCAATTTATATCTAAAACGGAATCTATATGATAATTTATATAATCCAAAATATTGCAATCATCAGGAGGTAGAAATTAGGGTTAAGATGATAATTAATATGAAAATTCTTATTGACTAAACACTAAAAAATCATAGAAATTCATCCAGAGAGACTGAGGGCTTTAAACTCTAATAGGAAAAACAAATTGTGTGTAGACAACGAGAAAACCCTAGCAAAACCAACATTAAGGAGTTCAGGAATGTAGAACTTAGAAAAACGAGTTGTGATTTGTGCTAAAAATGAAAGAAGAGTATATGGAAATAAAACTTACACACTAATAGAAACCAGTATAGAAGCTGATGAAGACTACTTTAGGTTTGCGCGAGTTTATGATAGAGGATATCTAACTGATCGAATGGCGTTGGCATGGAAATGGCAAGTCAACAACGAAGGTAGACGGACGACATGAAAGCCAACGAGGATGTGATTTCTAAGGTTTTCCTATACATCAAAGAGAGGCGATGCAGGTGGACGGTGGTGGAGCTGATTTTCCGGGTGGAGGAGGGATTCGAGTCGACGGGGGTTCGATTATGGCTTTGGGAGAAAATTGTGTAGAGTTTTGAAAGAAATCAGAGGGAAGGAAAATAAAAGCGTGGAATGAAAATAAAACGATGGAAGGAAAATAGAAAGAAAAGCGGGGAATAAAAGAAGAGGAGTCTTCGATTTTCGGCGACCGATTGGCGAGGGGAACAAAAAAAAGGTCGTGTAATTTTTAGGAATCGGTTGTTGTTCCCTCGCTAAGAGGTTTTAATTTTGCGACGGATTATCAAGGGAAGGATTTGTCGATAAATTCTTACCGGTCCGTCTTTGATCGCTCGGTAATACCTCTCTAAAATTCTGTAAGGGTTTTGGTTGAAATATTTGCGCGTTCCGTCACTAATCCCTCAGAAAGTCGTCACTGATTACCTACGGTTAGAATCCGTAGCTAATTTCATCGCTGAAAGTCAGGTTTCTAATAGTGTATGGAGTGTGGAATACGACTCCAAGAGAGTTATATTTATAGTTGCAAAAACCCAAGAAGACAACAAAATAACCTTCCAAATAAACGCTCAGCCGAAGGCAAACCCTAGGGCATGGCTTGGTTAAACCGTTTTCTACGGCAACTTACAATATACCCACTATAATCTCCAATACCACGTTATCACTGTTATTATGGTCACTTCATCACATTTTTTTTTTTTTTTTTTTTTGGGGGTTTTGCGAACTAAAAAGATGGTCCTTGTATAATAATGAAAGTACAAAAATATATCTACAACTACTAAATTTCCAAGAAATAAAAATTATACAAAATTACATAAATGATCACTGTGTAAAAGTAAAAAATACATAAATGGCCTATGTGTCGATAATATGGATGAATTGCAGAAATTGTCATTGTGCTTATGTAATAGGATTATTATAGAAATTCTCTATATGTAATAGGAGGAAATTTAAAATTTACTGAAATGATGCATGTGTAATATTAATATTATAGAGATTACCTGTATCTTATCTTATATCTTATATATATTTAAAAATAAAACTATAGAAATAAGTAGTATAATTATGGAAAAGGTCCCGGTTGTCGAAAAATAACGTTTTGCATTAGTTTCTTCAGTCAAATATACCCTTTTGCACATAGAATTAATAAAGTTTGGCCGCAATACTCGTGCTTTAAATCCTGATTATGGAAGCATAATTTAAAACATGACCAATGCAAATTGATAGAATGGAAATCAATGAAAGATATGATTCATTTACAAGTTTTCAAGGTATGAAAGATAAATATTAATTGTTTATTTCGGTTGTCCATGATTTGTGTTTAGCTTATACGGCGACATAGAGTGATTCCATCACCCACCGGAAGCTGACATATCTCTACTCTTGGATCAACAGCCAACGCTTTATTCAGCTCTAATACGAAGTCTCTATAATATCTAACATACTTTCGCAGTGGAGCATCAGCAGGTGCCACCAAAGACCCATTCCAAAGGGTGTTATCGTAGCCAATCACTCCTCCAATTTTCACAAGATCAATTAATCTTTTGTGGTAGTTAAGATAGTTGTCTTTATCAGCATCCACAAAAATAAAATCAAATGATCCATGGAATTTTACCTGTAAATCAAAGTATACAAACTAAAGTTAACTTTTAATTTAAAGAAAATAAAATTTATAAATATAAACCTCTCGGAAATCTGTAAGTACTTACGTCGTCAACCATTTGGTCAAGAAGAGGAAGGGCAGGGCCTTCTCTAAAGTCAATCTTGTGAGCAACACCGGCTTTTCTCGATAATTGGAAGGCCAATTTCGTAATTTTCACGGTTTATGTCCAAAGCCAATATCTTTCCATCTTCTGAAGAGCAAGAGCAGTAGAAAGAAGAGAATAACCGGTGTAAACACGATCTCCATTGTGTTCTTAGCATTTATGAGCTTGAGAAGTAAGTTCAAAAACTGTCCTTCGTCAGCAGATGTCGTCATAAGATTCCTACATTTAGTATTACAAGTAAAACGGATTAGATAGATAACAAAAGCACCCACAATGTTTTTATGGTAATTAATAATTAATTCAGTTACGTACTCGTGAATCATATTAATACGTTATATATAACATTAGGAAATCAAATGCATGCAGTAATTATGACTTACCAAGGGTGTCTAGCAGTGACCTCTCGTAGCTCTTTCATGGATTCTGGCTCTCTGGGGTAAACACTGGTTTCGAGAATGTATTGGTAAAGTGCATCGCTTTGAAGGAGGCTCTTGTGGCCAACTTCTTGGTGTTTTGCAGGCTGAGCTTCTCCGGTGGCAGCATTGTAACAAATCTCTGGTGTTTGACTGTGAAATGGAGAGTCGAGAGTGGGTAATGGTGGGTTGAAATGAAGCTGAAATGGAAGGATAGGGTGTATGGGAATATATAAGGAGTGGGAATGGAGTATCGGAAGGTGGAGGGGTGGTTCTTGTGCGTGGGGTTGGTCAGACTTGAGCTTTCATTGCAGTTGTGGACTTAGCCAACCATAGTGGAAAGCAAGAGTTGGTAAAGCCCACTTGTTTTTTTTTTTTTT